GTCCTGCGGCCGCGGGGCTTGTGGTGAGATGCATTTTGTGCCCTAAAATGCGACCCGCAGCCGCCGAGGGCACGGTCCGCCCCTGATTTTTGTCGTGCTGGTGTCACGTAGCAAGAGGCCCGATGTGGGTTATACTGGTGGGCAGCGTTAAAGTCCAGAGGGCCGGAGAGGGAGCAGCGTGTGGTGGTGTGCGCACACAGCAGCTGACCTGTCTTGGAATGGTGACTAAACTTCTAAAACCACTTTTTTTTTTTTTTTCTCTTAGCTGGACGTGCGCCAGAAGGTCTTCAGAGCATCACAAAATGACAAACGACAACCGTACTTTTGGAGTTGGGCCCGCAGTGCGAGCTGTTGGTGAGCCCGGCGCTGCCTGCCCCTGAGAGCAGAGCGCTGTAGTGCCGCTGCTGCTGAGCACATCCAGTTTAAACCACTTTTGGATCAAACTTAGCGCATTCTCGCTGTCCAGTGAACTGCTCCACCTGAAAGTGGCAAACGAGATGCTGGCCTGTCTCTGGAACCAGGCTGCTGCAGCACTGGGAACTCCAGCAGACTGCATACCAGATAAGCAAGTTTTGTCCTTTGTTACTTTTCAATACTTTCTAGTTTTGCTTTTTGGAGGCTTCATACAGCTTGCTCACTAGCATTTAAATGTAAAGGTAAGTACGAAGGAAGCTATAATAGTAGCTTTGATTGCTGTGTTTTTTTCATGAAGTTTTTCCAAAAGTTAGTAAAAATTAGTATCTTGATTTTACTCTATAATTAATACAGCACCTCCTCTTTGACTCTTGTTGACCTGGCACACTGACACCTTAAATGAGGATGCATCACTGACTGCAATACTGATTTGTCAAAAGTTTGGAAGATTGTAATGGAAATAACTATGCGTGGCATTTCATATAATAAAACAGAGAGAAACAAGTCTAAATGCAAGATCTATGTGATAGCAGGGAAAGCAAGGTCATGTGGCCAGCTAGTAGTGTGGGAAGTGAAAGACCAGGTCAAAATAATAATTTAGAATCAGAACTAACACAGAAAACATTCATTTCATATTCATAAAGAATTTTTAAAAGTAACTGAAACAGATAAGGGGTTGAAGAAATATGTAGTTAAGGCCAAACTCAAGTGGATTTTTGTTTCCAGTATTTTATTTCCTAAACATGGGGACAATATAATTAAAATACCAAGGGGGCCCTGACTAAAGTGGTCGTAAGCTAACAGATGTACCAAATAAATTTAGTTATGGCTAATGTAATTTTAGCACATTACCACATGCCCAGACTTTCTTCTTTAACACACTAATGAGTTTTAGGTAAGCAGATATTGAGAGGTGTTAAAATCTGTATCTCCCTCAGGAAAAAAAAGACCAGGAAGAAAGAGGGTAAGAAAAATTATTTCTTTAGAAGAACTGTATTGATATTTTATCAGCCATGTGCAATAATGATCCTCCTTGACATTCCTTTTGTAGAGTATAATTGCATAGAACAGATTATCTTATCTATCTGCTGGGGAAGTTTGATAAGAACACATTAGCACAGACCTGACTGAACTTCTCCTTCTGTAAGCTAATTCTCGTTTGGGCATCCATCTGTTTTCTCTTTCGTCTGATGAACTTCACTTCTAACTTAAGCTAATGTTAACATATTCTTCCTCTACATGATTATATTTAATTTTCTTTAACATAGGGAACAGGTTTAAAGAAATCCAGTGTATTTTACTTGTTAACTTTTTCCATTATTGTGGCAATTTATGTGATCCGTGACTTACTAGTACAATCTCAGCGGTATCTCAACTTCCAACAGGAGTTAGATTACATCTACATAACTTAGTCCTTAAATTGCTGGTGTGGAAAAAAGAATAACCAAAAATATGAAGGGGCAAGTGTTTGTGTGGAAAGGTAGAGGGAAAAAGAGAAAGGGACTGGGCAGACTTATCAAGTTTTTTAAAACATAAGGCATAAATTTTATTTAGGGCACAAACCTTTGTTATGTAAGTTCCTTCTAGAGAGGGTTGAATTCAGTTGCCAATGACATTTCAAGGGTGACATACTGTGGCATTATAGGAATGTCTCATAGGCTCAAGAAGTCATCCCTTTGGGAAGTTAAAATCAGTTTCTTAAGAAAGTAATTTTATTAGTTGTGATTTATTTTATGAGACAAAATAGAAATCACTGTAAGCTAAACGTTCTTCCATTTCTGAAATATATTTGGGCTTGTAAAACACATCAACTTTAAACCAGTAAACTTGGATATTCTTTCTCAATACCAGTGTAAGAATGAAAAGAATTTCTTTCAAGCAACCCAACATTATAACCAAGAGAACTGAGTTTAATAAAACCAATTTCTTTTTTTTTATACTGCCAGGTTCAATTTGAAGCCTACACCTAGTCTGAACAGAAATAGCTGAAAATTAAGTGTTTTGCATTCTCATATGATAGGATCTTAAAAGCGTTTCACCTGTACTTAGTATTGTATAAGAAAATACCTCTGTATCTGTTGACAGGTTGTTGGTAGCAGTTGTGAAACACAGAAAATAGGTCATTTGACTACTTTGATTCACCATGACATGAGATAGTTTATTCTTCCTCTGCTAAACAAGGGAAAAGTTTTCTTCTTAAGAGGTAGTACTAACTTAATTGACTCATGCTTTTCTGCCATCAATTAGATGAGACATTAAATTATTCATCCATTTGTTACAATGAACATTTAGATTCTCATATAAGCAAATACTAGAGAATAACTTTATAGAAAGATGCACATATATGCATGTAGGTTCTAGTCAGTACATACTGCAGCCATAAAGTACATGTATTCAGTATTTATACACATATAAGTCTTGTAGCTAGTGCAAATGCCCATATTTTACCCCAAATTTACTACTGGAAAAAAACAGTTCCAATAACCATACAAGGTGATCCTAACTGAAAGTAACAACAGAGCTAAATCAGAAAAAAACTATAGGTGTTGATACTTCAGTGACAAGCACATCTCTGATGTGACACTTAAAATTTCTAGCCCACTCACTTCTTCTATGTCTCCAGAAAATTCTTATACCATTCACAAAAATACATTCCATAAGTGATGGAAGTGATACATATGCTTCATGAGTGGCTGAAATTATGTATTTTCATAAAATGTCTGTATTAGTGAAATAATAGCCTTCCATGTTTCATGGACAGGGGTGGGGGAAACCAACTAATTTTCTTCCTTTACTAGGAAAACTTTATCTTCTTAAATATTTCCTGTACTTTAAATAGTACTTTCCTTTTTAAATAGGTTGAGATTAAATAAAGTATCAGTATACTTTATGCATAACACATTTCAAAAGTAATATGAATCTTGAACATTCCTTTTTAATAAAGTGCAAAGATGAAAGATTGAATTTCTCTCAAATAAAAAAATATAACTAAAAAAAAAAAGATTAATCCAGGCACACAGTATTAATGCGTCCTTTTCTTGGCTTTGCGCTTCTTGTATTTTTGGTCACGGTCTCTTTTTCTCATTTTTTCATCCTCTGTACTAGTGTCACTGTCACAACTTTGCTGTTCTCTCTTTCTTTTAGAAGCACTTTCATCCACCTGGTGCACTTCACAGTCACTTGCATGTGGCAGGGACAATTCAAAAGAACCCTGTGCAGACTTAAAATTTGCAGCTTGATTCTGATAGGGAGAAAAGGATAAATTTGAAGGCAGTGGTGGAGTCATCTGATAGTGAGGAAATTGTTGACCCATTGGACTCTGTACTGTGTACTGCTGTGCTAAGAAATGGTTCATCTAGAGAAATAGAAACTTCAGTTGTCAACACCGTAAAGAGGAAGTTCCAAAGATTTTAATTTTACATGCATTACAGTTTATACTATGAAACCATTGATGAATTATAAAATAAGGTAACACAGAAGGTTTGAGAATAAAACTTACCTATTTTATTGTATCAACTAGTATAGCTGGAAAAAGTAGACAGACAATCTGTCATGGCAAAGTTATGCCAGAGATGTAATCTAAGATTAAACTGCCAGTTAGTCCTTGTGTAAGGTAATCAAACATTGCATTTCTTTCATTTCTTCATCTCTGTATTTTATAAACATTTGTAACTGCAACGCCTATCGTTAATGTCAAGATACGCACATCTGCAATTTTTTTTAACCTGGTTTAACTAATTTTAAAGTTAATGTGAAACAAGGTGTTCCAACAAGGTGTACTGAATCCATAGATCAAAGCTTGGAACAACGCAGTAAGCACCCAGCTTCTTGCTACAGTCCCTAAAGTATCCGAAGAGTCCTTCTCATGCAAAATGCACAGCCCAAATACAGAAATCGATCTACAAAGGTTGGCAAAGAGTGACTTTCTACTGACTGGCAGTAACTAGAAAAATTATGGGGAACATGTCTGAGTATGTCATACTTGCAGACTCCAAAGGAGTAACCTGTCTGGCTCACCCAAATAAAGGTAGATGTGTGAAGGCGTACATAGGAAAAGATCCTGATGAAGTTGCAACAAACTACAATTGGAGACACACTGCAATAACCACCCCTTCTAGCAAGTGGAAAATGGGATGAAGTTGGTCCATTGTGCTGGTCTGACAAGTTTGGTCTTGAGGAGTGGGTTCATCAGCAAGCACAGCAGGGGAGATGATACACTCCCAAGCCTACCAACCACAGCGGAGGGGATGGGAAAGTTTGTGCAAGCACTAGCTCTTCTGAGGGCACAGCCTGGGAAGAGGGACAGCAGGCCACAAGCACATCTGTCCAACAGGGAACAGACCTTCTCAATTTTCCTGCTCAGATTGCAGCTAGCAAGAGTCATCTGTCCAGACTTCACCCCTTCTACAGTTACAAAGGGCTGGCCATTCCTCAGTCAGACTGGGTGGCAGCAATACTGTCCACAGTTGGTACCTCTCATTAAATGCTGGGTTTCTTCTGTTTTACCAGTCCGTACTCATCAGATTTAGAAGCTCCATAAGGGTTTGACCCACAGGTTGCCATCTGAGGAGACCAGTTCCTTTGCCTTGTGGAATACCTCAGACAAAAGAGATTAGGACTAGAATGGCCCAGTGCGCCAGAGTCTGTTAGAAGGGAAGTACAATACAGGTTCTCACTGCCTGCTGCTATGAAAGTAAATCATGAATGTGAGAACTGCAGGGGCATGTAAAGGTTCAGACTAGAAACTCTCAAACAGTTGTTGTTCTAACTTGGGCAGTAGTGATTTCTTGGGGGAGTTTTAGGTTTGGTTTTAGGACACTTCAAACTTCTGCTGGGCATTTCTGAATTGAGTAGAAGAGCTAAGAGGTTCCCTGACTGAATTAGCTGTATATGAAGAAGCTATTTCTTGCACAGTTGTGATTTTACTACGTTAGCTTGTTTCACCAAGGGGATTTGATTTGGAACACAGTACAGGAGAAAGCTCTGTCTGCAGACCAACATTTTAGCCTCACTAAGCTACATACCTTTAAGACATTCCTGCAGTCAGAAAACAGTTTGGTTTGGTAGATCCCGTTAATACAGTACTCTTAAGTGCTGAAACAAACACACCTAACACAGTCAAAGTTGGCAGCCTAAACCACATTTTGAGACATTAAATAAGCACTGTTGTTTGCCGAAATACAGAACACCCTTGACTTCACAAAAAAGCTCCCAAATTTTTAGCTTTTAACACAAACTCACCATCTTTTGAAATCCTGAGTATTCATGAGGTAAACTATTGTTCATTGGAAAAGGAGTAACAGGAAATGGAGGATTTCCATAAAGCTCTTGATACCTAGGAAAAATAAGCAAACATAACAAAGACTAGATGTCCACCAAATACTGCTTACCAGAGTGGTGAGACTTAACTCTCGGGCTATAATGAGTATATCCAAGAGGAGAACTAAGACATTAATAACTGGACTTCCATGAAAAAAAGCTGATAAAACAAGGGAAATACACTCAAGACTCAATTAATGAGTAACTCTCACATTTACTTAAGTGAAGATGGAAAAGAGTTCTGGATTTCATCATGGGAGTTTAGCTTCCACAGACAGTTCTGTCACATTTGTAAATAAAAATGTGAAACATTGAAAAATACTGAATCTGGGGTGCTTATAACAGGTTTATACCTGTGCATTCATATATGTGTTTCAGCTGCTTGTACCTACACACACAAAAAATACAGATATAAACTCAGTGGGATTTAAAAATATTATCTCAATCATCAGGTTTTCTTTTCCCCCTAACAACCACAAACATTATTAGTACAAACACAACATTTCATTTGGTCCATTCTCATGATCTTGTATCTTGCAGAAACAAATAAAGAATGGAAAATTCAAGCTAACTGAACCTCTGGCAAGCTAACCAACCAAATATTAAAATTAACTAGAGACTGTTGCAAGTCATCAATAAGGACTCAATTAAAGCATGCAACAGCTGTTTTCATGAAAAGCCTAAAGATTGCTCTACCACATCAACTAATTTTCTTAATAAGATTTTTTAAAATTATAATAATACAATTCATTCACAGGTGATCTTTGTTACCTATATGAAGGTGAATATAAGTCAACAGAGTTCTCAAAACCATGGGTAGGGCTGTTTAGTTCTGAAGAGTGAGAACTCCCTGTAAATAAGACAAGAGCATAATCACTATTCAGTTGTGACTATTCAACTAACAAGTTAAAAACACAGAAAGTGTTCTGTGCCATCTGTAGTGTGCTAGTATATCTAAGCTAGTATATAAAGGTAAGGTTCCATTTTAAAGCAGAAAATTTATAGCATCATTTTACTCCTTGAAAATGTTCAGTTATCATTTATTCACTTACAGAAGCATAAATCAGGGCTGCTGAAGTAATCAAGAACAGAATAATTCTCATTCAGTTACATACACAGGAGATGCTTCTGATTTTAGGAACCTTAGCCATCCTACTTAAACCCAGCAACTGCTCTGTACAGCCTTTGAAGGACAGAGTGGCACATTGCATGGTGGTAACATGAGTCGTTGCAAATGCTGCCTGATCATTAGCTTTCTAGAAGGTTTATTTTCATAAACATTAAATTAAAAATGTGACTCTGATTTTACTATATTCTTCGAACTGCAATCCCTTTCACTTAAAATGTCTCTGATAACTCTGTGGCTTTAGTATAAAAACTATCAAACAGCTTGATAGCTGTAGCAGTTACTGAATCAAATTTTCCTGCCAGACTGCAAATTAAAGGCACGCCCTGATTCCTAAATGTAATCTGGCGCAAAAACCTGTATCTATGTTTTCCATAGTGTGGTCTGAGCTGACTTGCAGGTTATGCTGTTCCGAACAAACCCACTGTATTCTCTTAGCAAACAAAAAATACGAAGACTGAATCCTTCCCTATGCAAAAGCTACAAGAAGTTTTTGCTTCTTAAAAAGAATGGACTGTAATTTCTTCAACTCTAAATCGTCATCTTTGTAAAAGACAGCAGGATTCAAAAACAGTCATTAAAAAAATTTACCAAGACAAATATTGAGACTACTAAACATACCAAAATTATACTGGACTTTAATTGGTCTTCCATACAAACGGATTCCACTCAGCAAAGCTATTGCATAAGGCACTGATTCTCTGTGCTTAAAGCAGACAAATCCAAAAGACTTAGGCTTTCCTTCTTTGTCCTTACAAATCGTCACTTTGGTTAATGGTCCAGCCTGAAAGAAATTTGTATTATTTTCTTACAGAAATTAATAGAGATTGACTTTTCATTCTGTCTTGAATATTTATTTCATAATGATGTATACTTTCCCATAGTCAGAAACAGTGTAAGTTTCTCAGTTAAGAATCTCTCCTTAATTTTGAAAATGTCTCTCCACGTTCCCCAAAGCTCAAAAACAAAAATCAGCTTCACAAACATTAAAAGGGAATCAAGCATCAGTCCATGGCTGATGTTTACTCTTTAATAATCAGATTTTTTTGTTTCTTTTTAAAATATAATGTGGACAGCTGCTGCAAGGGGGAAGACTAATTTACTGACTCCATAGCAAAAGTTATCTTATGTGTGTACAGCTGCTAGCACAATTATTACAGATTTTTTGCACAGCTAACATAACTAAGCAGATTGACAATATCAGCTATGTAAAAGTGACCTACTCCATTAATATGCTTCTAATTTACTCTTGCTTAAATTCCTAAAATGGGCAGCATCAACACTGTGGGAAAGCAAACCCAGATAGAGAGTGGTGCTTCTGGAACCACCACAGAACAGTTTTCTGTACTGCCTAACCCTCATTACAACTGCATGGCAAGGAATCAAGGAGTCCCTATCATCTCATCAGAGGTAACCTAGTGTTTCTCCCTCCCCCAAGACCCCCCAAAGCCTCACCAACAAAATGAAACCCCAAACCACACTCCTTGGCTGAAATATCTTCAATTAAAAGAAGTTTCATCTCTGCCTACATGTATCATTTCAAGCCTTGCGTAGTACTTCTAGGACTAAATTAAAGCAGTGATATTTCATAAACACTGGCTCCATTTTCAAAGAAATTGTCATTTTCATAATAGATATCAGCGATGACAAATTTTCTCTACACAAAACTGAATCAGTGTATTAGTCACCAAACTAACAGTTTCTCATCAAAACAAACTATGCGTCTGTATGGCTGATTTAGCAGAGTGAAAAGAAATGGCCAACACCAGTCTCCTGCCACAGCTCAGGAGTGATAAGGATGCAACAAATTAACTTCAGGAGGATATAACATCCAGATGAGCAGTGAAGTGACATAAATTACAGAAAAATCCACCAGTAAAAAAATTACTGAATGTCTAAATTGCTGTAGTAGATGGAGATCTCATTGTTCTGAATCAAAAACAGACCAGGTAGCCCAGGGAAGTTGTGGATGCCCCATCCCTGGAGGTGTTCACGGCCAGGCTGGATGAGGCTTTGAGCAACCTGGTCTAGTGGAGGGTGTCCCTGCCCATGGCAGGGGGGTTGGAACTCGATAATCTTTAAGGTCCTTTCCAACCCTAACCATTCTATGATTCTAAAAAACAGCACTCGTTGGTAAAACTGGCTCAACTACTACTACTGATACAATATGTACATTTCACTAAAAGTCACTCAAAAGTCACCTATAGCTTCAGAACACAAGTGAACTCGTAACAGCTTTACAACAATTAAAGTGCATAAACACACCATATGCTCAGATGAAGAAAATAAGGCATAAAAAATAATCTACTTTATTGTTCTGCATTTTCAAGAATTACTGTCAAACAACAAATCTGTAATTTGTCTGCTGTGAGCATTTAAAGTGATGATGTGGAGCCATCTCCCTTATTATACACTCCATGTTGTACGACTGAAGATATTAAGGATTGTAATCTGTGATTATGATGTTTGATTGCTGCATACTTTTGCAAGCTGAGTATAAGCTATTCACTTAATTAAGATGCTTTTGCTGAAAAATGAAACATACTCCCCCTCTACCCCCCAACCCTGCTGAAAGTAGGGACGTCATATAGACAAAGACAACGGATCAAAAATAATGTACCATTTTTAATTATCAGTGCAGGGGGTGATCAGGCTATACAGCAATGGATACTACCTAGGTTGTCCTGTGCAGGGCATCTTCAAAATGTTGATCTCATCTTTCCCAATATCTTGAAGTTTGGTGGGGTTTTTTTTGTTTGGTGGAGGTTGCTTTTTTTTGGTGTTGTTTTTTTTTTTTTTTTAAAGAAGCGATTTCAGTAAGATTCTGAATGTTTATTTTTGCTTAACTTTATTATTATTTATTTTTTTTTGTTCTACTGCACTACACTGCAGTTTTAATAAAAATAACATATATCCAGTCTTCTGATTATTATCTGCCTAACAAGGAGGATCTGGTTCTTCAAGAACTAGAAGCCACAAACTCAAGTCCTTTGCAGATCAGCCTCTTAAATATGTAGTCTTCCTGTTCATAAACAAAAAATTATTAATAGTTTAGAAGTAATAATAGATACTTGGTCCTAATTTGATGGGGGAAAAGCTACAGGTCAGGAGTGCATCTTTAGGACTATGCCATAGCAGGAATACTGAACTGTATATACTTTTCAAGAAAGGACAATACTGCAATGAAAGCATATGCTGTTGCAGCAAAAGACAGACACCTGAGTGAGAACAAGATGAAGAGAAGGAAAAAGGTAAGTAGGTGTTATTGGGATGACCTAAAGACCCAGATAAAAGTCAGCAGTTGGATCATTGCTGCAGATTATGCAGAAGACTCATGCAAAACTGCATTCTGAGAACATCCTCTTATTTTTATCACTTTTGCACCAGAATTTGTATGGTATTTCTCATGTCCCCTACTAAGGCAAGCTTTCTTAACTTAACGTTTACAGTTAAACAACAGACTACTGTTTAGTATTGGAAACAGGTAAGAATACTGCACAGAAAATCAGGGGGAAAAAATGAAGAAACAACTGTTTCTTGGATAGTTTTAGGTAAAAGTTAAAAAAAAGTTAGGAAGAGATGGGAAGAACTAAAAGCCCAAAGAGCTAGAATATACCAAACAAAAAGGCCATCCAGTGCAAATGGGATAGCATGCTGAGGTCTTGCTTAGTTAACAAGATGAATATCAGATTAATCAGTGGAATAAAACTGGTGATTAGAAATAGTTCCGATTAGCAAATGAAATAGCAAGAGAACAGATGATTCAGCCCACCTCTACCTTTACACTCTATTTTGCAAACACACCAGAAAGAAGCAAGGTTCAATCTGAGACTGGGGGACAATTAAAGGATTGAAAGAAGCAAGTTTATCACCAAGCTGTTGGCTGAACTGTCCAGTCAGAGTCTGGGACCTTTTAGCTTGGCAGAGGCTGACTGGATCACCCCAGGAGGAAAACAAAACAAAACACAAAGCAAAGACACCATAAGCAAATTCAAGAAAAGTCCGTCATCAGCAACTATTGTCAATCCATCTTGAAATGTGGTTACTAATAAAGTGCACATTAGTGCTATAATGCTCCCTCCTCTCCACATCGAACCCTTCCCCCTTACTTTCAGGTTAAGAAGCCTGGCTCATCCAGAGATGCTGTCACTGTGCAATCAAAACTGAAACCATGTCAGTGTCTTAACATTTTCTGTCTTTGCTGTTTTCCTTCCTCCTTATCCAAAGACAGAGAATTCAGCTCAGGTTTGAAACAGTGAGCACCTCAATATTTTCCCCCCACCTCCCTGAAAATCCCTCTGATATAACTTTTATTATATTTTCAAGCTCTGAAACGTAGAACATTTTCATATAAAGGTCACTTATAGGTGGAAGTCCAGACCCCCACCTGCAAATCCTATTTCCTGTCCCACTCTGTTAATAGCTTCAACCTGGCTCAACACATTTTCAGTTTTCGTATTACTTTTGCTTAACCGAATTCTTGATCAAAATGTTCTTACTCAGAATAATAACAACAAAAAAAAAAAGTGTAAGAAAGATGTTTTTCCTTGTGGATTTTTAAAACGTCTTTAAACCATTTAACTTCCTCACCAGCTTGGGGCCCGTGTGTAGCACCAAAACTGGCACAGCCGGGAGGGGACAGAGCCGGGGACGGGAGACGGGCGGGGCAGGGCCGCTCCCACTCGTGGGTCGCGGCGCTCACCAACAGCCCGCACCCCAGAAGGGCTCCGGCCCCC